TAGTCATTAAATATACATCAATGACATTTAATATTTTGCCTTTCATTACTATACATGTTTATCTTTCTTCAGAGAAAATATTGACAAAATCAAAAAATTTTAGTCGGGAACCACTGGTTGAGTTGACACAGAATGACCCTATTGGTCTTAAATGTGGAAAACAGTTAAAATAGTGAAGGAGCCATAATTCAGAAATGTAACCAACAGAAAGACAGAAAAAAAATAAAAATAAAGAACTGGCTGAGATAATAGGTGAAAAACTGATGAGATGAGGAGGAGGAGAGATGGAGAAACAGAAGACAGGAGCAGAGAGTAAAAGCAGTGGGTCTGGAGGAGAGAGTAACAGATGAGTGTAGACAAGTATAAAATGGATCTCGCTCGAGAAACTGAATTGCTTTCTGGAACTGAAGACAGCGAGCGATTGGGAGAGAATTGAATGAAACTTGCTTTAGAAAAGAACAAAATATAAGAAGCAGTGATTCATCTCTCTTAGAACCTCAGCCTGAACTGTCTAAAGGGCCGAACACAAAATGTCCAGAAGCGTCCATTCAGAACAGCAACAGAGAGACAGAGAAAGTCCAATCTAAGCAGCACTACAGTCTATACGAGTTAAAGGGTTCTGTAGTATGACCATTACAACAGTCTGAATGTGTCAGATTAAACACCATAAACAGAAGAATGAAGCACACAGTGCTAAATGTGAGTCTACAAACGGCACTTTATCTGAAAATAATTCCCCTGGATTCATCCAAACCTTGGTAAACACAAAAAGCAGAACCAGTACCAGTCGCCTCTTACCTTCTTTGCAGTATTTCCCTCGGAAGCGTGTGTGAGAGCAGTCACAGTAGACCTCGCCGAACTGGATGCTGCAGTATCCCCCGTTGAGGCAGGGGTTCTGCTTGATGCACAGATACTCCAGATCGTTATGAATGCCGTTGCTGTTGAGTAGAGTGGGAGGCATCTCTCCCACCTTCAGATTAGAGATCAAGCCCATGAACGGAGGCTCGTATTTGACCGTGCTGGACGTGAGCGCGGACAGACGGACGTCAGGCGGGATGCCCCCCACGAACAGGTCGCTGACGACCGCCATCTCCTTGCGCTTGGAACGCACCTCCGCCACTTTGGTTTCCCCGTCCACCATCAGCATGGTCTCGCGGTAGTTTCGGGTGAGCAGAACCATGTGCCAGCGGTCGTCGCTGACACGGGTCTCCATCTGGAGGGCGGCTGGCTCGGCGCAGTGGATGGCGAAGCGCAGCTGCAGGTGTCCGCCGCCGATGAGCAGCTCCAGAAAGTCACAGTTCCCGCCGTCGTCCAGGTACAGAACCAGCGCCTTGCTCATGTTGGTCTTCAGGCTAAAGCTGAGCTCCCCGATCGAGCCGGCCTCCCAGCGGGCGTAACGTGCCCACTGCCCCGGGGCCCCGCCGAACTCCAGGGCCCCGGCTGACAGAAAGAGTCTGCCTAACAGCATCGGCCACAGGGGCCAGAGAGGGGACCAACACCGTGACTTCATTTCACCCACCCTGATGATACAAGCTCAAAAACCTGTTCTCGGCAGAGGCTGAGAGAGCAGTCTCAGAGTGCAGAGTTTCTCTTTGACTTTGCCTGAGAGATGGGAACGATTGCAGAGAAGAGGGGCTGAATTCCCAGAGCTGCCGGATCAGCACAGGTACCTTCTGCTAGACGGTCCGTTGTTCACTCGTTTTCTCGCTCTTTCTTGGCCTGACTCCACTTTATCCAGACTCTATCTGTAGTCTCTCCATTGGTCGGTGCAGGCAGGGGGTGATTAAGGATAGATGGGAATTGCTGTTTTTATCCCCAGCTTGGTTGCCAATTTAAGTTTTCTTTGAAAGGCTTCCAATTGAGATTTCAAAGCAATGTGATTCCTGGGACTGAGGTTTCCCTCAGGCTGATGTTTCTAAAGGAGACAAAGAGGTGTGATGCAGCTATCTTGCGTCCTGTGGACCACAGGTGATGGTCATGGTTGAGTCTTTATCTGCGATTCATTTGCCCATGTTCTTCCAAATCGTCTCGTCCTACATGAGGAATCATGGCAGGAACAGTCTACTGGCTTCCAGATTCCGGCATTCTCTGGGCCTACAAGACAAAAGGGAACATTTGATTAGCTACAGCAACATACACAACCTTACTAAATACAACCAGACAGAGTTTTGAGAGGGATATTCATTGACAAACATCTGCGCAGACACTGAGATTTGAGGTTTGTGAGGTCGTCCACACCTCTGCACAGCAGAAACTGCCTGTGGTGTTTCAGATCTGATCAGGCATTTCTGTTCAGTGTGAAAATGACCTGCTACAAGCTAAATCATACAGTCAACGTCAGAAAGTTTGAAATGCTGACGTTCGTTGGGCTAGTGTGAACCAGATTTAGAACACAAAGCTCTGAGGAAAAAAAAAAAAAAACAACAAGAGAAAACACAAAGCTCAGCATGACCTGTATTTGAGGTTTGTGAGGTCGTCCACACCTCTGCACAGCAGAAACTGCCTGTGGTGTTTCAGATCTGATCAGGCATTTCTGTTCAGTGTGAAAATGACCTGCTACAAGCTAAATCATACAGTCAACGTCAGAAAGTTTGAAATGCTGACGTTCGTTGGGCTAGTGTGAACCAGATTTAGAACACAAAGCTCTGAGGAAAAAAAAAAAAAAACACAAGAGAACACACAAATGCTCAGCATGACCTGTATGGTGACAAATTCATTCTCGGTTAGTCAAGTCAAGTCACCTTTATTTGTATAGTGCTTAAACAGAAAAATTGTTTGTCAATAATGCAAGAGGACAATAACAGAGTCATTTTTCCAGTTAAAGTCAGTTCATCATTGAATTCAGTGATGTCATCATCCAGCTCAGTTCAGTTTAAATAGTGTCTGTGCAATCAAGTCAATACTGCCAGAAACTAAGCATCCCCAACTAAGCAAGCCAGAGGCGACAGCAGCAAAGAACCAAAACTCCATCGGTGACAGAATGGAGAATAAACCTTGGGAGAAACCAGGCTCAGTCGGGGGCCAGTTCTCCTCTGACCAGACGAAACCAGCATGGCGTGGTTCCACATACTGTATCGTCTCTCATTACGCTGATGTATCTTAATGAAGATCTGTGTTGAACACTGATGTTTATATTACAGCGCTGCTCTAATCTCATCTGAAACAAAATGGAGTCGCTGTCTGAAAAGGCTGATTGCTGCCCTTGACCATTTGGCCTTCAATAAGATCTGCCCATTATTTCTGAAGAGAGAATTTAAATGCCCGCATGAAGCGCTCATTATTAAACACTCGTCTTCCTCCACCGGATCTCTCGGCTTAGCAGATCAGCCCTTCTTTTGGGTGAACAATTCCTCAAACATTAACTGCTTATGATCCTCCTCATCTGTAAGTCACTGTGAATAACAGCATCTGCCACATGAACTGTAAAATATAAATGTTTATCTTCTCTGAATTAGACCACTCCCATCCCTTTAACCACACCCCCTCTACCCCAAACCCCATTTCCCAAAGTCATTTCAGCCAATCGGATGTGCACAAATTGATTGACAGGCACAATATGCTGATCATATTCTTCAATCAGATATAAGTGGGTGTGATATTATTCTGAAAGATTGTGTCCTCAAATATCAGAGATCATGCACACAGCAGAGTTCAATATGAATTTCAGCTAATAGATCCTAAAGTTTTCTTTTAGTGTAAAAATTAATTATAAATGCTGCAAACGGGTATGTTAATATTGAGCGACCACACTGAATAAATCTTGCAGATCACAGAGCCATGTTTAATGCCGAGCCATTTATTAAAGCGTCAGTGATTGTCAGATGATGATAATGAGCCTCTTCATGCGTATGAATATATAATGGTCATTTCAGAAACTGCAAAGCACTTATTCAATATCCACGTGCCCCGTGGGTCACACCACCGAGTGTGTGTGAGAGAGAGAGAGAGAGAGAGTGTGTACCTGTTTTTCTATTCTGGTGGAGACTTAAACCTGACTACACACAGACTCATGGGGACTCGTGTCACGGTGAGGACCTAAATTGAGGTCCCCACGGGTAAATAAGCTAATAAATCACACAGAATGAAGTTTTTTGAAAATCTAAAAATGCACAAATTTTCCTGTAAGGGGTAGGTTTAGGGGTAGGGTTGGTGTAGGGCAATAGAAAATATGGTATGTTCAGTAGCTTATGGAGAGTCCCCACAAGGATAGCAAACCAGACATGTGCGAGTGTGAGAGAGTGTGTGTGTGTGAGAGCGAGTGTGTGTGTGAGAGAGAGAGTGTGTCGGCCAGACGTGCTTGTTGAATACGGTGTCGGCAGCACTAAGATGAGTGTTAATGTTTGCGATTGCACTTGGGTATGTTTGTGTGCGCATGTGAAACTTAAACATGATCTAGCGGCTCACTTTCTGGTTAGCTGCTTTGGTTCTTCCAGTAACATGGAGTCTTTCTGTGACTGGCATCAGGTGCATGTGCACTTCCTCCTCCACAGGAAACACATTTCCACCGGTAATCTGCCAGACAGAAGCCATAGTGTTGTGTTGACCTCTGACCCTTAACCCCGTTGTGCTGCATTTCTGCTGCGAGAGGCAATTTTTTTTATTCAATTATTCAGTTTTCCTTTTAGTTTGTAGTTTTGCACCATTTTATTTTTACGCCAGTTTAATTAAACAGATGTGTTGGCCATATGTGCATAATTTTTTGTCAATACATATCTGAATTTGTGTGTCTGTCATACAGCATCATATAACAAGAAGCATCATTTAGCAAATTGATGCTTATTAACGTCATGTTTTCTGTGATTCTCGGCTGTCTGTCTGTCTGTAGTCCTCTGTAGTTCCTCTGTCAAACACACGAGAAGCAGCTGTAACACCACCATGTCACTTCATTAGCTTCGTTTAAATATCACCTCATTAAAAATAAAACCTCCTAGAACAGGCATCTGGCGTGCCATTCACAGTTAAAACTGACATTCATTTACACCGGCTAAACTCCCCAGAGATCTGAATGTTGCATGTGCTGCATGTGTTAGAGCTGAACTCTGTCTGACTTCACGTCATTTCAAGTAGTGCTGGGCGGTATGACCAAAAATTTATATCACGGTATTTCAAACTTATACCGGTTTCACGGTACATGACGGTATTTTTTTAAAAGGGTCTGAAAGTTGCTAAATCTAGTGCTAAAGTCGCGCTCGTGTGTGTGAGACGCGGGAGCTGATGGCAGGGGGCGGTGGATATTTGTGGCGGTCAATGTGGATATTGTGGATGAGTTCTTCTGTGTCATCACATTCTATTAGTTCTACAGCTTCAGTTTCTGAACTTTCACGCTTAGTAACACATACAGCTGTTCCCTCACCACAGTGCAACAGTGAAGAGAGACCCCTTTCAAACAGTGTCGCGTTCCCAACGTTGTTTAAGCGACATACACCAGTATTGCAGTATTTTAAAAATTCATATCATAACAAAAATCAACACCGGTATTCGGTATGAACCGGTATACCGCCCAGCACTAGTTTCAAGCCTGTTGGCTTCAGTGTCTATATAGTGTCGTTCACAATACATGCAGCTTTACAAAGAGCTGAGCCACACACCTCCAGTGAGCAGCCAAAAGCTCTCTTCCTCCTCGGGCTGAAACAGAAACTCATCCGATCCAGACTAACATAGCAACACTGCTAAACTACTCACTGCATCTGACACGGTTTATGAGCTTCAGCAGATTCTGATTCATTCAAGTCTAATTTCTGGGATTTCAGGTAAAATGATTTCATACATCATGAGAAAACAGTGAACTGCTGCTATCCATTTAAACAGAGACAGTCTTCCAGAAATGGCTCTGAACAACAATAAGATTGAAAGTGGACCAGAGAAATCTACTGTTCTTACTTCAAAATGCACAGTTTTCCCCAAGTGCACCATTAAGCGGATTCCATGCGAGTCTGTGAGAGAGAACGAACACACACAGACCGTCAGCAAAGGGCAATTCAACCCAAACCGTCTGCATTAAATGACTCTGTATAACCAACTTAACTAAAGTGTCAGAAAGCAATTTGCCTCCCGCACACCAACAGCCTCAAATCTGCACCTTATTAGAGCAGCTGGACACTGGTCTGAACCGGCTCTAATTCAGCTGCCGGGTCTCAGACGGACTGATCGATGAGAGACTGATGGAAAAATGATGAGACCGGAAGTATTAACGGGAGCGGGAGAACGGGACTGATATGAGCGTGACTCTTAACGAGCTTCAGCACACCAGCTGCCAATCAAATTAATGATGTGTGCCAATTAATTAATCAATTAAACCACATACAGAGAAAAGCACTCTAGTGGAAGCCTTTCAAAGACATTATGGTGGCACATGAGTAAATGAGTTGCATTGTCTATATGAGTTAGTTTCTCATTATTGATCACCAGTCAATCAATGACCTTCAGTCTGCAGTGATCAGATCAATATGTCAGAGGTTTGGTGTTCAATCTGTTTTTACATTAATAGCATGTGTCATTGTTAAACAGTCGAGTGTAGAGACTCTACTCAAGTCAAATTGATTTGTAAATCAATTTGCTCTTTTCACACATTGTTTCAAAGCAGCTTTACACAAAATCATGATGTTAATTTCTTATGGTCACATTTAGCTGGGTGATAATATGGTTTACATTTTGCGACAATATAGAAGCAATCAAGCGGTTGAGATTTGCTATAAAGTGTATATTGCTCTATATACTGTGTGTAATGTGGATAAACCTGGACACACTTATATATTCAATTCAGCTTCACATCTAGAGCTGAGATAAAACAGTTTGGCTGCAGTGAGTGAGAGAGACGCAGACAGCAGCATTAGTGTGTCATCATCAGCTGCTGCTCGTCACACACACTGACAGATTGCATTCTGGGAGCTGAAGTCACACAGGGCCTGGAAGCAAAGGTGTGCTGTGCCTGTCCTCTTCCTCTGATCCTTGTGCAACTGAGTGAGATTTAAACAGAGGACAGGCACGCTGCACTAGAGCTCCACACGCATTCCAGAAGTGTTGCATGTTGTCACAAAATATTAACGTGTGTTAAATGAGCTGCTCCTCTTTCCTGGATAATTTCTATAACCCTGTCTGATGAGAAGCAATAAAATCCACAGAGAGAAAGAAAGAGATGAAGTGATGATCAGAGCTGCGCTCCACTTCTGATTTGAATGCTCTTTCCTCGCTAACTTCCTCCCTCCAGATGAAAAATAACAACAATACAATTAACTCTGACTGTGTAAAAACTCATCTTAAGGTAGCTGCAGGTATTATGTGGTTAATCTCCAACACTAACACCCATCACGCACTAGAGCTGTGTTGGTGTAAGTGAAGCGTGATCTGCTGTGACGTCACAATCGTGTTGCATTGTGGGATATGGAGATGCCTTAAGTGTACAGATGAGTTGACTCGCTCCCTCCGAGACTTCCCTTTCTGCAGTTCTGCAGTGTTAGGAAGGTAAAGTAAGACTTTAAGACTTTTTTACGACCAATTAAAGAAAATGTAAGGAATAAATGAAAGGGAACACAATACATCAATAATGTCTCTAATGTAAATGTCTAAGGAGAACACAAATTTTGAAAATACAACTTCCATCACTTTTTGATTATCTTTTGTATCTTGATTTAAGGATACTTCATGCTAAATGTAATGTCGTGACTTAATGAATTTAAGACTTCTGCTCTGATTTAAATCCCACAGAAACCCTGTTTGTTGTACCACAGTATTATAAATTCTTTAAATATAATTAATACAATAACATTCACAAAAAAATTAAAGTGTTTGTGGTCTTTCAACAGGCCTTCAGTAGATCCTGACACACGATCATGAACTGATGCCTATAATGCATTGTGTTCCCGCTGTGCTAACGCCGCTATAAACCCTGAGCTCCAGCACAACGCATCACTTCCTGTCAGAGAAATGGAGGAGAGGCGTAACACTGCACACAACACTGTGCTGATAAGACTCATCACAGCGCTGATAAGACGCTCTAGGGCACTACACAGGGGACGAGGGTGCGAGCAGGGCCTGACACGCGCTGTTATCTGCACTCAAACTCCAGTGCGTTTGGGTGGGATCGCTTGAGCTCCAGCACAACGCATCAGAGAAATCAGAGAAATGGAGGAGAGGCGTAACACTGCACACAACACTGTGCTGATAAGATTCATCACAGCGCTGATAAGACGCTCTAGGGCACTACACAGGGGACGAGGGTGCGAGCAGGGCCTGACACGCGCTGTTATCTGCACTCAAACTCCAGTGCGTTTGGGTGGGATCGCTGCAGTTTCCTCAACATACACTGATCTGAGGTCAGCTGTGGGATCTGTAGGATAAACGGCCTGCGTGTGACACCTGAGAAATGCTGATCTCAGGTCAGGTTCAATCATGTGCAGCTCCACAGGGCTTCAGCGCTCTTATCCTCACAGCAGTCACTTCAGAGTCGAGTCAAGGCACCTCTATTTCTATAGTGCTTTATACAATACAGATCATGTCAAAGCAGTCTCACAGTGTTAAACAGGAAAACAGTGTCTCAATAATGCAACAAACAATTCATAGAGAATGGGAAAACACATTTGCATGCCGCCTACATACAGATGAAACCATTAAAAAAGAATCACATGAATACAGATAAATAGTGAAACACTTTCTCAGTATTACGCCTGTGGGTTTAGCCTCAAGCTAATGATATGCATGTTTAGGTCTGTGCTTAACATACATGCTAATTAATGTATTTTCTGTGTTTTGTGCTAACGGCGATCTGTCGTCCAGCAGCAGAGGAACATGGCGCTTTCGGACAGCTAAACATTTAACCTCCTGCATCTGTTCATCTCTGGCGAGAGATGCTGCTCTCAAATATTTGCTCTACGAGAACGTGACACCAAGCTCACTTATTTATCTCAGTTTCATACTGACAAGGCCAGGGCATCGCTAGCCACAAGCTTCACTGAAATATTCCTCATAAGTCCTTAAGTGTCAATGGATATTTATTTTCTCAAGTGTGTGTGTTTCCATCTGAAACTAGCGATGCCAGATTCATTAATTAATCACTCTCCTGATCTAATCAAACGGGTTTGGAAAATTCATTCAGACAGTTCATTTATGCACTGGATTGGTTTTTCACACCGAAATAACAGGATATTTCATAAGACCGAAAACAGAAAGAGTGCTGGAGTAGCTGGATATTTACCTACAATCCAGTGTCGGAAACAAAGCTGGCAAATGTCTTCTATCATTTTCCTGTGATGAAGCGTCTCTTTATTGCACATGCAGCTTGTGAACGACGTATTTATATCCAAATCAGCATTAAATGAGTATCAAAATATGGGCTCTTTTTTGATGGGGGCCTGAAACGTCCCTGCTTACTGCTGAAGATTTGTTTGATTTTTATATTTATGGGAGTCAAGACACGATTTTGATACTGGGAGTATTTTTCATTTGACATTTTCAAAATACAATATTTGCAATCTAAATTCAACCGCTTGACTACACAGAAAAAGACGCGGTTCCTGATTTTATATGTTTATGGAGAAACGCTAGTTTCTCCACAGCCCTGGAAATTCACTCAAAAATCAAACTCAGTAACACGGGTAATATTGCGTTTATTGTATCTATATGGGCAGGTGAGGCAGAGCCCCAACAAAATATTCATCCACAACATAGACCTCTATATAAACTGAATCAATATGTGTTCAGCATTCTGCAACAAATATTTTTCGGATTTTCTAGACTATTTTAAGTCGTAAAGTAAGCAGTATATACTAAAATCCTGCGCATGGCTTTAGCAGGCATGTATACATGATACTAAGCGGGGCAGACGGTGCCTGAGACCTCCCGAGCTTTTTTTTTCTGTGTGGAGTAGTGGATAAAATTAACAAAGTAGGCTATACGTTAAATCCTTTAGTTTAAATGTGCTCACATGAATAGCCTTTATATGCTTCTGTTGTCTTTGTTTTGTTTATTCTGAGAATAGACATGTGATCTTCTTTCTCCACAACTTGTAACATTTTAAATCAACATTTGGAGGTGATAAATACTATATTAAGACAATTAGTATACAGCATTTTATGCGTGTAACATTACTTCGAGCCTGTCAATCAACATTAGCGTGCCACCCACAGGATAACGCAAGGACATCTCTGCCAAAATGTTGTCCCCATGTGTTCAGAGATGAGAATATAAAGCTTACAAAATGTTTTTCATATATTAGCGCTACGACCCAGAATCTGTTCCACCTAAATTTACGGTCAGGAGCCGCTACTGTATTTAACAAATGTTTCATAAAGCATCATGTTCTTAGATCTCATTCATCTTCATCTGGTGGATTTCCTCAGAATCCGGATGTTTCTGACAGACAGTCAGATCTGCTTCTGCTGCATATGAAAGCACAAGCGTTATCGTTCGCTCGCGCTGCTAAAGCCTACTGCAGATTCCTGACGCTCACACCATCCCTCGGAGCCGCAGCAAGGCTCGTCCTCTCATCAGGCCAGCGCTATAATCAGTTCTGCCATATGGCGCTCGGAGGAAACGCGCTGGGCGGAAGTTTAATGCGCTTGAGTGAATGTGGCTAATCACGGCTGTAAATCTGGGCTAGCGTCTCATGCTAAACAGCTCAGCTCCCGCCATGAGGCAGCGCTCGCATTCATTACCACAGAGCACCGCCTTCACCTTTCCACTTTATTTTCTCATATTTTTCCTCTCTTCTCACTCACATTCTGTCTCTCAAGTCAAATGTTTATCCAATCAGCACTGATTACTTCTGCTGTTAATAAAGCCTATTTGAGGCGGTTTTGATTAGCCAATCAAACACAGCACGTAGCTCCTACTGGCGCCGCTTTCCTGTTTGATTTCCACACCGAGCGACACCTCTGCTGCGCTTCTGGCGTGACGCTCGAGCCGCAGAGCTAGTGTGTACTTCTTAATGAACAAGACACTCAGAATGACAATGAGCCGGTTGACACTTTAGCTTTAGCACTGCTAATTAGTGTTGCACGACATACCAGTACTACAAAGGTATCGCAATACCCTGCTTTTAAAAAAAAAGTATGAATCCTCATTTTACTAGTACCGGTACTTTAAGAATGGCAGTGTTTTAATAAGAGCCGCACTTCCTGAGTTCAGCATGCGTGCAGCGTTGTTCTTCCACTCCCTGCATGCACACTGGCCATGGCAAACTTTATATATCCG